AGGTGGTATTAGCGATTGTGCCATTGTTATTAGTAGCAGAAGCACTATTTATTGGTGTTATCGATGTTAACAACCTAGACGGTGACGGCGACAGCGACAACGTTGACGCTGTATAATTATTAAAGTGTTGATGATTATGATTTTGAAGTGTAGGTTGATTACTATGTTGTTGTTGTAGTTGTTGTTGTAGTTGTTGTTGCTGTTGTTGTTGTTGCTGTTGTTGCTGTTGTTGCTGTTGTTGTTGGTGATGTTGATGATGATGATGATGTAATTGAGGTTCATTGAACCTTCTATTATGTTGCAAGTTTAATAAATTATTACTATGACTATGATTATCACCATTATTATTGACTATTTGTCGATTATTATTATTGATGATATTATTAATAACGTTTCGTGGATTATCAAAATCCATGTCTGCGATAGTCTAATTTATTTTTGTCAAAAGTTGTAAGTTTTTTTTTTTTTTTCTTTTGTTTCTGATTGTTATTCTTATTATTCTTAATATTTCCAACTTAATTAATTAATTAATTAATTAATTAATCACTTAATAATATTAATTAAAATAAATAATATAAAAATTAATTACACTCTCTATTCAAGAATATCAAAATCTTTTTTTTTTTTTTATTTTTGGAATTGTGCCAACTTTATATTCTCAATTATTCTATTGCAAGTGCTAAAATTTAGCAAATAAAAGCATGTCATGTAAATATTTTTGTTTTGTTGTTATTTGTTTTTCTTGTAATAAATTGATGTTATTTTGTTACTGATAATCGATGATAATAATAAGCGTTATCGTCAGCGCGGAACATCCATTCTAAAAAGATTAGACAAAATGGGAAAATATTCTTTATTTTTTATTTTTAATCCATGCTTAATGCAGATATTATCATTAAAAGAAAGCTATTCTAATTTTGGAAATCTTTGTAGAGAATAATTTTTAATCCGCGCTTTATTTATTCTCGGAATACCCCAAAACTTAACTTTAATTAATATTATAATAAATATTAATTGCAGTAATTAAATGCGGATAATTAATTTAAAACTATTTTGGTACCAGTTTGTTTAAAAATATATTATTTGATATGGTGAATAAAACTTTTGTCGAGATTAGAT